CCTCTCACTTGCTCCCTTGTTGCACTGTGTTTCTCAGGTCCAACCTAATAGTGTCATCAACTCTGTTGTTATCTGGCATGCTGACCTCTACCTAACCACATGCTAACTCTCTGACACTTCCTCCCACCAGCCCCTGAACACCAACCTTATGATCGAGCTTTAAACTATCAGCTCGTGGACTGTCACTGCCTTCACCTCCTTTCTTGACCTTCAAGATCTTTATCTCCTACCCCAAACAGCCTGCTTCCATTTTCTTCCCAAGATCCAGAGTGGGATGCTCCAATTAGACCCAGTGTTTCATGCTTCTCCTGCCCCACCAACTTACACATGGACTCAGATGTTTACAGGAAAGGAAGAGGTCATTCGGCCCATTGTGTCCATGCTGGTTAACAAAAATCTGACCACACTCATCCCATTTCCAGCTCTTGGCTTATAGCCCTCCATCCCTGTGGCAAGGCAAAGTGTGTATCAAAATGCTGTTTAAATATTACAAGACTTTCTGATTCAACCACCTTTTCGAACGGTGAGATCCAGACCCCGGAAAAAAATATTCTCACCAACTCTCCACTTAGCTTTCTACTTTTTACCGTAAATCTGTGCTGCTAGTTTAGTGATCCCACTGATAATGGAAAAATTGCTTTCCTATCCACCCTGACCATGTCCTTCACAACCTCATGTACCTCTATCAGGTCTCCACTCAATCTTCATTATTCCAAGGAAAACAACCCCAGTCTATCTAAACTTGTCTCATAACTCAAACCATTCAGCCGAGGCAGCATGCTGGTAAATTTACTTTGTACCCTCTCAAGCTCAAACACATCCTTTCTTCATTGCGGTGAAAAGAGCTGCATGCAGTACTCCAGTTGACATCTAATCAGTGTTTTGTACAGTTCTGCCATAACCTCCTTGCCCTTATATTCTATGCCTTGGCTTGTAAAGGCAAGTATCCTGTATACCTTCTTAGCATCTTATCGACCTGCCCTGCTACCTTCAGCGAGCACTGATGATGTACAGCAAGGATCCCTCTGATCTTCAGTACTTTTCAGGGTCTTAACATTCAAAGTTTAATTATTGCCTGTTAGCCTACTCCCAGTGCATAACCTACACTCTTCCAGGTCAATTCCACTTGCCACTCTTCTGCCTATCTGACCAGTCCATTGATAGTCTTCTGCAGGTTATCCTTATCCTTGTCTCTATCACTCTACCAAGTTTTGTACAATCAACCAACACTTTAATCCTATCTCCTAAATTTAAGTCTAAATCATTCACGTACACCACAAACAACAAAGCCACCTGCACTGAGCCCTGAAGAACCCCACTGGAAACAGACTTCCAGTCAGAGAAACATCCCTCTATCGTCACTCTCTGTTTCTTGTCTCTCAGCCAATTTTTAATCTAATATGTAATTTGCTTCATTTCCCACAGGTTCTTACATTCTGGACCAGTTCAGTCATGAGGGACCTCATAAAAATCCTTTCTATAGTCTATGTAGACAACAACAAATCAGCAATTATAATCAACATTTCTTGTTAGCTCCTCAAAAAGAAAATCAATCATATTTGTCAAACACAGCTTTCATTTAATCTAAGCTGACTATCCCTGATTAATATATGTCTCTCCAAGTGCAGATATATTCTGTTCCTCAGAATTCTTTCTAAGAACTTCTTCATTATCAGGTTTAAAATGACTAGCTTGTAATTTCAGGTCTATCCCTTCCTTCCTTTTCTTAACAATGGGACATATGAGCAGCCCTTCATTCCTTTGGCACCTCATCTGAGACAAGAGAGGATTGAATAATTACCTCCTGGGCCCCTGATATCTCTTCCCTTGCCTCCCTCAACTTCCTGGGATATATTTCATCTGGGCCTATGGTTTTATCCACTTTTAGTGGATAAGCCTTCTATTATGTCCTCCCTCTCAATGTTAATTTCTTCTAATATTTCCCAGGCCTCCACCTTGAAATCTATATTGGATTGTCCTTTTCCACTATGAAGACTGACACAAAGTATCCATTGAGGACTGTGTCCACATCTCTGGTCCCCACACAGATTATGTGTGCAGTCCCTAGTGATCATATTCTTCCCCTAGTATTTAAAAACCTCTTTGGATTTCCTTTTATTCTATCTGCCAATACCTTCTCATGGATTCTCTTATCTTTCCTAATTTCCCTTTTAAGATCCCCCTGCCCTCTTTATATTTCACAAGGTGCTCTGCTATATTGGGTGCTTTGAATCTGTCATAAGCTTCTTTTTTCCCCTTAATCCTAAACTATATGTCCCTTAGCATTTAGGGTTCTCCACACTTGAACCCACCTCTGCTTCCACTGGAATATATTTGCTTGGTACTCTCACTATTTCCTCCATGAATGCATCCCATTGCTCAGGCACAGTTTCATCTGCGAGGTGTTTCTCCCAGTTCACTTGGGCCAAACTGTATATTTTCTTGCAATAGTTAGCCTTTCCCTGTTCAGAACTTTTATTTCTGGCCCTCTTTCAACAATACATTCTCCCCTTATTCAATCTGTTCTGACCTACTTCCTGACTCTTCCGATGCCCTCTATCACTGCAAACACTTTCCAGCTTCCTGCCCTCCCTTTTTACCATGGATCACCAATCCCATTGCACCTCCATCCCTCATCGGTAACAGTACACAGGGGTGGCACAGTGTCTCAGTGGTTAGCACTGCTGCTTCACAGCGTCAAGGATTCATTTTCCATTCCACCTTCCGGTGACTGTCCATGTGGAGTTTGAACATTCTCCCTGTGTCTGCGTGGGCTTTCTCCAGGGGCTCTAGTTTCCTGCCACAGTCCAAAGAGGTGCATGTTAGTTGGATTGGCCATGCTACATTGCCCATAGTGTCTAGGGATGTGCAGGCTGGGTGGATTAGCCATGGGAAATGCAAGGTTAAAGTGATAGGTAGGGAGTTCGGTCTGAGTGGGATGCTTTTCGGAGGGTTGGTGTGGACTCAATAGGCTGTATGGCCTGCTTCCACACTGTAGAGATTCTACGTTATTATGAAATATTACAATCTTTTACACAAATATTGAAGAGTCAGAAATAGGACATCATTGTTTGTAATAGTTCTCTTCAAAGATCTTTTCTTTTCTCTACCTATCTAGATCTGCAACTTCCAAGTAATCTTTAAAGGTTGTACCTTTTCATTTTTCTGTATATTTGATCATGGACTATAATGGTAAAAAGACTATTTCAACAGCCAATTATTGTTGAAGGATTATTGTACATTCTAAAAGCAAGACACTCATTGTAAGTATTGTTTACACAGCTGTTTGTTCCAGCAATAGGGAAAGGTCTAATTACAAACAAGCTGAAGCCAGTGGGTATGTCTGAATGGAACTTCGGCCAACAATAAATTGCTGATCAGTCTGGGAACTAGTGGACATTTCCTGCCAATGATGGGAAAAGTCCCAGAAGAATGGAAGAACCTATAAAGGTAACACCCTTATTCAAAAAGGGAGGGAGACAGAAATCAGGCAAATATAGGTCTGTTCGGTTGGACATCTATCATGGGGAAAATGTCACTGTCTATTAAAAAGTATGTAATAACATTTAAAAATACATTAAAATAAAACAGAATCAGCATGGCTTCATGATGGGGAATCATGTCTGAGAAATTTATTACAATTCATTGAGGAAGTAAGAAGCAGGATAAAGAAAGGGGATTAGTATATGTAGAAGATTTGGATTTCCAAATGGTGTTTGATAGGATCCTGCACAGAGGCTACTTTGTATGATAAAAGGCTATAGTCCGGGGAGTTGTATATTAGCATGGAAAGATTTTTGGCAATTAATTGAAGACAGAGATGTGATAAAGAGTGCATTTTCAGGATGACAACCTGTAACTAGCAAAGAGTCATACTGATCTGTGCTAGTGAATGAATGAATGAATAAAAAATAAAATCATTTAAATTACCCCATCTTTTAACAAAAGAAACCTGCATTAATAAAGAACCTTTAGAGCTGGGAAAGATCTTAAGGCACCTCTCAGGGACACTGTCACACAAAATGTGAAAACGAGTAAGAAAAAGCTTGAGCAGCGAGATAAATTTTGAAGAACATCTGAAAGGAAAAGTGGGAGAGGCAGAGGTAGACAGACATAAAGGGAAATCAAGATCTTAAGGCTAAACAAGTGATGGCAGGACTGCCAATGGAATAATGAAGATGCAGAAAAGGTAAGAATTGGCAGAGCCCAGGATCTTGGAGATTTCGATCTTGGAGTCTTGGGATAGCAAGATTGATGTATGAAGAAAGATCGCATCAGCTAAGACTACATTCAGTGGTGTTTAGAGGAATGAAGGAGAATTGCAAAGAAACCTGTAAAATTCGAACAGGACTTGATAGGGTAAACACAGCAAGGATGTTCCTGAGATTGGGCAGTAAAGAACCAGGGGGTCGCTGTCTAGGGATATGATGTAGAGCTTTTAGGATTGAGATGTGAAGAAAGATCTCCATGCAGAGAGTGGAGTTTCTTACCACTGAAAGCAGTTGAGATTAAAACATTGAATGTTTTCGAGAAGTTAAATAATGTTAGGTATCTTTCTGGGGTTGAAAAGAATGAAAGGGTATAAGGAGAAAGTGGAAATATGGGATGAGTTGGATTTTTGGCCATGAACGGATTGAATTGTTGAACTGACTCGAAGGGCTGAATGGCCTGCTCCTGCTCCAATTTTCTATGTTTCTAATTTGTGGTGTTGGAGGGGGTTACAGGTATCGAAGGAGGAGGGAGGCAAGCCATGGAAGGATTTGATATGGAATATGGGACACTTAAAACTAAAATATTACAGGAGATAATGTGGATCAGTGAGCATAAACAGGTAAGAATTGGGTAAATGGGATTTGGTGAACAGTGGTATTTTGAAACAGGCTCAAGTCTGTGAAAAGTACTATTTATGACTGTGTTAACCACCATGGAGAAGGAATGAAAAGACACAAAGGTGATTTTACTTTGCGGTACATGAACTGGAGAACTGTGCACACACTCACCCACAGAGGACATCTCTGGCACTGTCACGTGGTAAGGTTCATCTGGAAATTCAGGGGCATTGTCGTTGATGTCTTGAACCTTGATGGTGAACTCAGATGGCGGCTCTAGAGGTTTGTCGGTGTCCCGGTCAATGGCCTGTGCAGTCAGCGTGTACTCGGCCTTCTCCTCACGGTCAAGTCTCTTCATGGCATGAATGTCTCCTGTCTTGTCATTGATCATGAAGATTGTCCCAGCACCTTCGCCCGACAGGATGTACTTCACATTTCTATTTGCTAGGTCGAGATCCGTATGCAACTAGAGAAGGAATGGAGAACGAGTGTTAAAAAATGTTCTTTTTTTCTCAATATTACGATGCAATTTCCTTCTCTGCATAAAGAATTGGAAACATAGAAAATGGGAGCAGGAATAGGCCATTCAGCCCTTCAAGCCTGCTCTACCATTCAATAATCACTAATCACCCAACTCATTACCCTGTTCACACTTTCTCCCAATACCATTTGATCCATTTCACCCTAATTCCTCCCTGAAAACATTTAATGTTTTGGCATCAACTATTTTTCTACAGCAGAGAATTCCATAGGCTCACCACTTTTTGGATGATGTAATTTCTCTTTATCTCAATCCTAAATGGGCCACTCTGTATCCTTGGACGGTGACCCAATGTTCTGGATTCTCCTATCATTGGGAACATCCTTTCCACATTTACCCTGTCTCGTCCTGTTAGAAATTTATAGGCTTCTATGAGACCCCCACTTTCTGCTCAGCTCCAGTCCTAATTGATCCACGGGTTCTCACTGAAATTTACAGAATATTGATAGGTCTGGAAACACTGGGTGTGAAGAAGATATTTCCACCAGTAGGAGAGAGTAGGACCAGAGAGTAAAGCCTCAAAATGAAGGGATGGCCCTTTGGAACTGAGATGAGGAGGAATTTCCTCAGCCAGAGGGTGGTGAATCTGTGGAACTCATTGCCACAGAAGGTTGTGGAAACCAAGTCATTCAGTGTATTTAAGACAGAGAGAGATAAGCTGTCTTTATGTAAGGGAAGCAAGGGCTATGGTGATTAGGCCATTCAGCCCCTTCAGCTTGTTCCACCATTCAATGAGATCATTGCTGATCTGTGGTCTAACTCCATTTACCTGCCTTTGGTCCATATCTCTTCACATCTTTGCTTAACAAAATCTATCTCAGATTTAAAACTAAACAACTGATCTAGCATCAAATGCCATTTGCGGAGAGTGTTCCAAATATCCACTACCCTTTGTATGTAGATGTGCTTCCTTTCATCTCTCCTGAATGGTTTGATCCTAATTTTTCTACAATGTCCCCTGAGTTTTATAATCCCTAACCAGTCAAAATAGTTTATCTATTTTACTTTTCCTGTTTATATCTTGAAGACTTCAATCAGATCACTCCTGAACACTCTAAATACTAGAGAAAACAGGCCAAATTTGTATAATCTCTCCTCACAAGTTAACCCCTGAATTCCAGGTATCATTCTTGTAAACCTATGTTGTACTCCCTCCAAAGCAATCTATCCTTCTTAAGGTGTGGTGCACAGATCCATTCACATTTCTTCAGGGTTTGTGTAACTGCAGCATAACTTCTGCATCCTTGTACTCCAGTCCTCTAGATATAAACGACAGCATTCCATTAATTTTTTTTTGATTATTTTGGGCCAATGTTTATGGCATTTTAAAGATCTATGTGCCTAAAACCCCCATGTTATTTTCAAAATCTGTTGTATTTAACTTCAAACCAAATAGACAGTATCCTAATCTATCCTTTATTTTCCCAGATCAAAATAGATAAGCTCACACGTTTTTACCTAGAAATTCATCTGCCACATTTTTGTCCATTCGCTGAGTTGATCGATATCCCTTTGTTATTTTATGCTATCTTCTGCACTATCTACAATGCTGCCTAACTTTGTGCCATCATCAAATTTGGATATATGACATTCTATGCCTTTATCCAAGTTGTTAGTAAATAATGTGAATCATTGAGGCCCTAATACAGATCCTTGCGGGGCACTGTTGGTCATATCCTGCCAATTTGAGTGTCTACCCATTATCCCTACTTTCTGTCGCCTACTACTCAACAGATTTTACAGTTCTGTCAGTGATTTGCCATTAGTTCTGTGGACTTCTGCCTTAGTTAACAATCCCTTATGTGGGACTTTATCAAATGCCTTCTGCAAGTCCATATAACCAATATCCATAGACATTCCCCTGCCCACTACCATAGTCACCTCTTCAAAAAATTGAAGGAAGTACATCAGGCATGACAAAGTCTTCATGAATCCATGCTGGCTCCCCCTGATTAACAGAAAATTTTCAAGATGTTCAGCTTGTAATTCCCTGGTGTTCCACTTTCATTCTTCTCAAACCTGGACTGACATATTTTCCATGCCAGAAGGACAACTCTTGAATCTAGGGAACTTAAGAAACCTATAGCCAGGGCATCTGCAATCTACTCCCGTACTTCCTTTAACACCCTCAGACAGAAACGATTAAGTCCTGGGTATTTGTCTGCCTTTAGATCCACTAACTTCCTAATTACCAATGCCTATTCAGTCCCTGTCCCCGATCCACCATTAATTTCCTCAGGGCTTCCGTCCTGCTATCCTCTCTTTCTACTGTAAAGACTGAGACAAAGTTTCACTGAATTCAATCATGTTGTGATCACACTACATGATAAATGTTCAAGCACAATCAATTCAAATTAAGAATTAAATCTGGTTCATTAATTTATCCAATACTGCCTGTCCCCTTGTTGCATTCAGGACATATTTTTGTAGGAAATTATTCCAGATACACTCCAGAAATGCCCTAACTTTCTGACAGGTGCTTGTTTGCATCACTTAATCTGGCTTAAAGTTAAGTTCCCCGTTGATACTACCGTGCCTTTGGTACACATTTCCTTAATTTCTGCATTTATACTATCCAGCACTTCAGAACTGTTACTGGGAGATCTCTACACAACGCCTGTTACAGTTTAGGACCTTTACTGTTCCTCAGTTCCACCCAAACAGTCTCCACTGAATGTTTTCCCCTCATTATATCCTCTCTCACCATTGAAGTAATTTTGTTTCTCATCAATAATGCTGCTCCACCTCCTCTACCACTTTCTCTGTCTGTCCTGTAAACCTTAGCACCTGGATATTTAGTTTTCAATTCCGATCATCCTGCTACCACGTCTCAGAAATGGCTACTATATCATAATCTCCAGCTTGAATTTGCACCTGCAGTTCATTTAATTTATTCTTTACCCTCCTGTGCGTTCCTGTATAGAACTCTTATTTGGATCATACACTGTAACCTGCTCCTCAGCACTGATGCATTATTCACCTGTTTATCGTTTCTCTCTTTTGGTTAAATCAATACAGATCCTATAGTTTTACAATCACCTCGCATAGCTGAAGTAGGGTTCCTGATTGTTTACTTACTCCCTGTCCTATAACTTGTTTCTGAAACTGTTTTGACTTCTCCCAAGCCCTATGCCTATTTACTAGTTTAAAGTCCCTGTGATCTCCCTATTTAGACTTTCGTTGGGATCCTGGTCCCAGATCAAGTTCAGGTGGAGCCCATCCCAATGATAAGGTTCCTTCCTGTCCTAACACTGATACCAAAGTCCCCCAAATGGAACCCCTCTTGCCCACATCACTCCTTTGGAAATGTGTTTACTTCCCTAATATTCTTATCTCTTTGCCAATTTGCACATGGCTCAGGTAATAATCCAGAGATTGTAATCTTTGAAGTGTGCTCTTTAATTTTGTTTCTAATTTCTGATATTCCCCAAACAGGACCTCTTGCCTGCTCTAGCCTATGTTGTTGGTCTCAACATGGACCATAACAGTTGGGTCCTTCCCCTTCCACTCCAGTATCATTTCAAACTGGTTCATGATGTCCCTTACCTTAGCACCAGGCAGGCAATACAATAGCTGCTCAATCTGAAATGATTCCAGCTAAAGACCAAGGACATACTTCATGGCTTCCAGTTTGCTAACGATCGTGTAGGTACTGCGAGTACATGCAATGTGACATGAACATGTTCTCTGATGCATTTAAGATGTGTCGCCTCAGGATCATCACAAAGAAAAATCAATAATAGACCAGCCTACTCCAGGAGGCCTCCATCTTGAACCCAAGGTCCGTGGTCAGAACCTGTCAGCAGTGGATACATTCATTTATCTCAGGAGCACAATCGCTTCAACTGCCTTTTAGTGACCATGAGACACATGCAATAATTGCCAAAGCAACGGTAGCCTTCAGCAAACATTGAAAATGAGCCTGAGTGTAAACAGGAGCAATGCTAGCCCATCAAACTGAAAGTCTGTGATGAAATGGTCTTCTCTATTCTGCTGTATGTGTGAGACACTTAGACTGGATACCAGTGTCATGCCAAGACACTCAACAGCTTTCACTTGAGCTGCCTTTGGAAGCTTCTGGAGATCAGATGGCAGGACAAAATGCCAAATACTGAGATGGTCTCCTGAGCTGGCCTGCCAAATAGTCACATCATGTTGAGAGGGTGACAACTGTGCCAGGCTGGTCCTGCAGCAAGAATGTCTTGAAACTCCAATGTGTTGTCCCAGTGAAGTGTAACAAGAGAAACCTTCAGCAAAGAAAGCAGGCTTAGAACAGAGATGACCTGAGGAAATGTGCAGTTCAGTTGTGGTTTAAGTTCCTTAACTATTGTATCTCTACAAGTAAAGTACTACAGGGTACAATATAGAACAATATATATAGTTTAGAAAATTAAGTCCAGAGCAGTTCCTTTACTAGTACGGGTACAAACAAAAGAGAAAATTAAGAAAACAAAGAATAAAAATGCAGTTTTTCTCAGTACCCGAAAAGTGAACTGTTTGAGAAAACAATGAGCTTTGACTGCAAGGCTCAAACACAATGGGGCCTCAATGATGACATGATGATGTGACTCACATTAGAGAAGCAATGACATGAGAAGCAACCAGAAAACACAGGCTCTTAAAATGGGAATGAAACTTTAAATGAGGAGAGAGGACAAAAATAAAAGCAACTTTAATGTAAAAGAAGCAGATGTAAAATGAGGACTCCTTGCATAAACTCATAGAACCCTACTAAATAGTCCAGATGACAAACATAGACATCTTCATCCCAGAAAACAAAGAGAAAATTTAAGACTAGAGCTGATATATTTTTGGGCGAAGGACCAAAGTAAAAAGTGGGTTTGATGTGATTATCTTCTTGAATGGTGGAATAGGGCTTGATGGATCAGATGACTAGCTCCTGCTTCCAAATTCAATTGTCATTT